TAAAGATACCCCTGTGCTTTGAGGCCTCTTCAGCCTCCGGCGCTACGTGGGTTTGCAGACAACTCAAAGAGTTCTTCACAGGACTAGAGGGTACCCGGGTCGGTCCGTTGGAATCATTGCGAGACTCGAAGTTTGCCGGCTTTGGCGAAGCTAGGGACATCGACGTATTGGGAGGAAGAGGAATAGGCTGCCTTGAGACCCTCGGCGAAAGAGGGAGGCCGGAGAAAGCGTTTCTAGGAGACATTGGAGGAGACCCCAGGGATGTCCCTACAACATCACGGGGCATTCTTGGGGTTGGAGGATTCATTGGGCGATGGTTTGGGCGTGGGCTTAAGGGAAGGCCGGGGCTCATAGGCTTCAAGGTCATAAGCCTCTCCGTGGTGATCGGCCCTTTCAGGCCACCAGAGGGACTGAGTACACCCGCTAGCGAGGCTGGCGGCGACAAATACTCAGTTGTACCAGTTGCGGTAGGCTCTCGTGAAATGGTTTTGATGGACGCGGGAATGGGAGTCCCATGACGCTGCGCAGGATTCACGTTTTCCCTGGCCACTGGCTTAGCCACATCCGCTGGGGGCTTCGACCCTTTCTCCTTCTTCGAACGACTTCGATCTTGCTTTTCCTTAAGCATAGCAGCCTCTCGTTCCTTGTCATCGGCCTCTCGTGTTTTCTTCCTGCCCCTATCTAAAGCAGGCAATTCGTCCACTTCCATATTTTCATCGTAGTCAGAGCCAGAATGATCGTCGGATCGAAAATGGTGCTGGGCTGGCTCATCAGGCTTCGGCTGGCCCAGATGTAGAGGCGCAGGAGGAGGTTTGCGAGGCGGTGTCGTCCTTTCAATGTCATTTCCCGGAGGTGTTGATTCGATTAACGCTAATGTTGGACCATTGAAAGCTTTGGCAAAGAAAGGCTGGGAACGTTTCGCGGTGAAGCTATTTGTTGGTGACACAACGGGTCTTACAGCTTGCGAGATTGGTGTAGGACTGTTAGGTGTATCCTTCTGAGCTGATGGCTCCAGATCGTTTGTCTGTACGGGAGTCACGACATGCGCAGCCTTGACGGGTCCGAGAACGCCAAGATCAGAGCTCGATGTGGCCTTGTGTGAATGGTTGGAGCCTCCTGCTCGCGGTTTGCTCCTCACCCAGTCGTCCGCTTCTTCCGACACTGCTGGCGTAGAGCTCAAGGATTGTTTCTGATTTTGATCCCGATCCTGATTCTGATCCTTGCCATCTATCAATGTGCCAGTGGGCGACTCGCCGCCTTCAGAATCACGGGGAATAGCATACACCAGGCTCTGTCTCTGAATTGGTAGATCAGCAGAGGCTTCGCTAGGTGCTGGAGAATGACTGGCATCTCTTGGCCGTGGCATTGGCGCTTTATGCGTCATGCTTGGGATCGGCGGAACCTTATCCAAATGTCCTTTCAACTCCTTTCGATATTTTTCCTTGTCTCTGAGAGCTTTCTCGAGATCTTGGTTTAACCCAAGCACCAATGAACGCTGCTTATCCACGATTTTCCATAATTGAGCGTTTTGTACAGCGGAAGACTGTTTTTCCTTCAACAGATGTTGAATGACTGCCTCTGGGGAGCCTGCCGTTTCTATGAGGTCCGAGATGTCTGATGCACTAGAGGTATCCAACGAGGTTTTGTGCGAGTGCTTTGAGATAGCGGAGTCTATGGACGATGTGCGTGGCATTGGCCGAACCTCTAGCGGAGCAAGTGCTTCGCCTAGCGGCGGAGATGCCGTGGATCGAGGGGAAGGCGGGGAGGAGTTGCCCAAGGGTCTTAGTTGAGGGAAAGGGGACGAGACGTTCCGCAGCTGGCTGTAGGATTGGGCCTTCGAAGGTGCTGCTATAGTAGCTCTAGAAGCTCTATTCTCGATTCCACTCGTATCCCCATTTGTAGTGACATTTTCTGAAGCAAGAAGCTCGTTCAGCCGCTCCGGGGGGGACTTGGGCTGTTCCAGGTTCGCGGCTAGATCGGGTCGCGGCGAACGTGGAGAAGATTCTGAAAGGCTATTACTTTGGAATGCAGTAGGCGATTTGGGACTCCTGATGTTGCTGTGCGTTTCGCCAACAGTCGCCGCAGTGGCAGCCTCGCTGACCTGCAACGGGGATGGCGTAGGCTTCCGCGGCGTACTGCGTCCATCAGCGGAGCGTGGCACTTGCGCACTCTGTCGATACCCAAGCAAATTTTGGCTAATGCCGGAAGCAACCCTGCGGGACTCAAAGTTGGCCTGCTCTGCAGTCCCTTTCCATGAATCCATCAGCTCCAAGGGCACGTCCAAAGGCGATGGAGTTGCGCCCAAATACTACAAATCCGAACATTCGTTCGAGACCTGTCGCAGGATCAGCGGCTGGTTAGATTGAGGTGAGATTGCGTAATGACTGGCGTGGAAGAAGGTGGGCGGCAAGGCCTCATAGGTAGTAGTGGTGGCGATGTAGGATTAGAGATTAATCGGGTGTCATGGCTGCTTCCCAAAGTTGGCGCTGCGGTGTTGATGGCAGGCTTTTAGGGAGCAGGTGGAAGGATGGCTACATGGACGGAGAGCAAGGTGAGCAGGCACATGGATAGTAGAGTGATGTTTACGAGTCGGGTGGTAGGTATGTAAGGATATGTATAGGGATGGGGGGCTAAAATGGATAATAAAGTGTATAGTAGTGTATGTAGTAGGTATAGAGTAGCGCCAAGATGACGGCACAAAGTGCTACTCCGAGAGTCCACGAATAATACATCTTTGGGCAAAGTCCAGCGTTTTCTCCTTTCTTTCACTGATGTTATATGCTGATCTAAATCAACTCCTCCGAACAATCATGGCACGCAGTCTGGCAGTCCAACAATGGTTCGTATAGTCTCATAGCCGCCGAAAGCAGCATTCAAAACGTTTCGGGTTGCCTGACAGCAACAGCTTAGTGCACAATGCAAAATAATCCCCCACTGCCCGAGTCCAAAGCTACGCTTCTCTTCAGTCTTCACATGACTTGCTCGACTTGCTTTGGGTGGGTGTAGCGGGAAGAAGGGAAAAAGGTCGTGCATTCCGGCTTGGCTTTCATGGAATACTAAATATATATATATATATATACACACACTTACACAGAGTAAAGCTTTACATCTCGGACGAAGGAGAGGAGAGGAGAGAAGAGCAGGACCAGTCGGTTGCTCTTTCAAGTTTCAACCTCCACCACTCGACGAGGCTCAAAAAAGACGTTAACAAAAAGCTCCGAATATTAGTACTCTCTCAGTACCTAAGTACCTACCTAGTAGTGAGGTAAGGTAGTAAGAGATAGTCTAGTAGTAGCACGACTGGAGAAGCGGTGAGTTCGAAAATTGAGGAGTCAGCAGATTGTTCGCAAATTCGCAATTCGGCATGATGTGCAGCTGCTTGATCGACCGAGCCGGAGGGGGTTAAGATTGCATGGGTTTGATTTGATTGGAGATCCACATCTGAAAGTGCGCCTCTACAATCTGCTAGTGCGCTAATATCAAAGTATTATTGAGCAATGAGCAGTGAAAAGTGAAAACTGAAGACCCCTACGGAGTAAAGTACTTTAGATTATAAGGTAAAGTACTTCCTTGCCGTCATCGTTTTGCAAGGCCCCCACGCTTTCACCACAAGTACCTACTCGTAAGTATGTACCTTGATTACCACGGACCGAGTACCTAGTAATAAAATTCACGCTCCGAAAGCACCGAGCTCGAGGAACGTCGCTTGGGCTGTCACGAGGTTTCTTCCCATGCTCTGAAGATTGTATCACATCGACGTTGACATAATGCTTTCGTCGCGCGCTCCTTAAATTAGTAGTACTCGTAGCCACCTCAAACAATTAGCCACCTCAAACATTTTTCCTCGCCGGGCCAAAAAACGAGCGATTCTGAAGTCGAATAATTTGAGACTACTTCACCACATCATTTTGTAAACTAAGTTAACCTGGCATATTATGTATATATATCTATTCTATATCTCTAACTTGATTGCTAGGGTAGAAACAAGCTAGAAGTATTATGCTACGATTATTCAGATGCCGGATGAATTAGGTTTCACAGCATTCCTCGCACTGAAGAATTAATCCCTTCATTAGTTATATCGTATCTCCATAACATTCAGCTCTTCATTCATCCCTTCATTACATTCATTCCTCCATCACATTCATCCCTCCATTATATTCATCCCCTCATAACATTCATCTCTTCATAGCATTATCTCTCCACAGCATTCACAAAGAGCTTCTCAGTCTATATAAACCGAGTTTTCTCCCAAGGTCTTCTTCTTTTCTACATATACCCTTCTCACCAAGGGCTTCTTAGCCTATATAAATCGGTGTCTCTCAAAAGAACTTCTTCTTTTCTACATACTTCTTCAACAACATCAGCAGCAAACACATACGCATTATATCACTATAAATTCTTAGTAATGACTGCATCAGTGGTTTTTGATCAAACTCCTTTTTCACAGTCTACTCTCACTCTGTTGCAGTCATCAACCTCATTGCAGCACGTATTGACTGAACGCTGGACTATGCTACGCACGAGCAGTATCTGTCACTTGTTATCCAGTCTAGGATCGTCTTTCTAAATATGAAAATATATATCCAAGTATACCCTCACAATCACCTTGCTAGCGCGAGTAATCTGCAATGGTTCCTGAGCATCTGTCATGATCTCGATCCACAGTGGACTGCATCTAGATAAGAAGATGCCAGTGAGTTCCTGGAATGGCTGATTGGACAAGTCCCGGATCTCAAACCCCTCTTCACGCTCGAGGAGCGCTTCAGTCATACAGAGTCATCTGGCAAAGGGCAGCATCTTATTGCTACCGAAAAAGTCAAGATTATTCTTCTTCCTTTAACCGTTTCAGATTTGACTTCTTTGACACTCTGAAAAATTTGCTCATCTCGTACGGGTATGATCACATAGACTACACAAGGTGCAAGCTATCGTCCACGGAGTATAGCATCTTGGCGCCTCCGCAGGTCTTGCTTATCCAACTACCTCGTTCGGGAGGTATGCAAAAGAGCTCGAAATTTATCTCTTTTCTATCCACTCTCTCACCACCCTATGTCCCTGCCAGCTACGAGCTCAAGGCCGTCATCTCTCATTACGGCAGCAGCATCTACACTGGACACTACAAGGCTCTCATATCCCGCGAGTTTGAATGGCTTGAATATGATGACGACCACGTCAAGTCCGTATGCTTTGAGAGAGTCGTCTGGGTAAGTCGACACTCTTTGCTGCAGTAGACTCTACTTACTAGTAAATAGGATAGCCATGCCTTCACGTTGCTCTATCATCGAATCAACGACAGCACCTTGATCCATCCCGTTCATCCTCCAAATTTCGCGCCGCCGACGGATGATACTGAACCCTTGAATGACTTCGACATGCAAACCTCCGACCCCGATGACGATAGCAATGCCTCTAACCAGGACCAAGATATTCAGAAACTTACCGAAACGGTGAACAGTGAGGAAGCGCTCTCCGAACCTGAGTCCGGTAGCAACGCCTCCGATCGAGACCAAGATATTGAGCAGCTTACCGAAATGGTGATCAATGATGAAGCGCTCTCTGGTGAGCTAAGAAATTTTATTTTCGGTGTACAGCTCGGGACTAATGTCTTGGATATAGTCAAAGGATGTGAAGACTGCAGGATGTACAAGGATGCCTATGAAGCCGTGACTTTGGGCTTTGCACAATATGATCTCTATGTTGCTGGGGTGTACAACCCGCTACTTGAGGACCTCAAGGCAAAGTCTTTGCAGGATCCGAAGGTCGAGGCAGAATTAGAGTGGATCGAGGATCAACAAGAGCACTTTGACTCGGCCATCAACAACACAATGACACGCCTCCGCGAGGTGATGCCTGAGTACATGGTTGGGCATTGGGTGAGCCTCTTCGATAGCGTCTCAAGAAAAGCAAAAGAGAAGAAGGCAGTCGATCAAGTAGAGCCTGGCACGGAAGTCGGCTTGGGAGTGGTTTGAAATTGGAGGCAGAAAAGAAGGTGGCCTCGGAGACTGAAGTATCTCCATGGGATAGCCATATGGAGGCGACGAAGGATATCAACTGGTCAGCTTAAGTGGAAACTGGAACTCGGGAGGTTTAGCTGGCTCGCCGTGATGACACCGATCTCAACATAGCTTGTCATGTTTATTCATGGCGGTTCGATTTATGCTTTCAAGTTTTAGAACACGTTTTATGGTTTTCGATACCTTACATCAGATAGAGCAAACTCGCGCGTTTCCTTGCAAAGCCTGCGCTCCCCAGAAAATATGTGATTTGAACCTCTGAGCAACATGCCTCGGACGCGTGTGGATGTCCATGGATGCCTCAATAAGGTCTTCAGGGTTATGTACATGTAACAGGCATACCGGATTTCTCTCACTCAACACTCCGCTTTCACACATCCTATGTGTATCTGATGTATTACCACAGCAAGATAGTCGCATTTTTTTGCTTCGTGACCATATTTCCCATAGTATCGACCACGAATATAGAGCTCCTCCTCAAAAAATCATCACACTCATGCCTTTCACCCTTAGATATTTGCCTTTCCCTCATGCCTCAGGGGCTTGAGCGGACGAAGGTCCCTCCCTTAATACTTGGTTTCCAGCTTCCTCCCTGTATCGAGCTCTAATGAAGATCCCATACGGCGTAATCTATGGCATTACCGTAGAAGACATGAGTCCAGTCTTGCTTCCAAGCCTATTCAATAACTTTCAAGCTTTCCTGCCCAGGTGTCCGCCCAACAGCTGTGAGTTCGCCTTGCAGTCAAGGGACTGCAGCAGTTGTAATGAGGAGTCAGTTGGAATCACTGTGACTCGTAATCGGCTATGGCCAAGTACTGTTGGGTTATCTCTTACCCATTGGAGATGATGTTCTTGACGGCTAAATTCTCAGCCTCGTTGAATCTACCGCCGATTAGAAGAGCTCATTTTCGAGACCCCTCATGTTGCAACATCCAGAGAAAGCTCCACCATTTCCCAATGATGTGTCAAGGTCGACCCTAGTGGAATAGAGAAACAAGCGCAAGGCTGTTGCTTTTTATGCGTTCGATCCTTTTTACTCAATATCGTTTGATAGAAAGAGCCGATTTGTTTTGGTCGATAGCCACAACAATGTGGGCAAATAGCTGCTCTTAACATTTCGAGGGTTTGAATTTGCTTCTATGCTTTGGCCACATTTTCTTGCTAATTGGTTAATGGTCTGCCTTGACAATGCGCTGTTCTCTGTTTTGCACATCCAGCATTTTCCATGTCCCCTTCCGTTCCTTAGTACTTCCTTTTCCTCGGACCGCCCACCAGGTACATAAAATCAGTAGGTGCCTCAGCCTATTACTCGCACCGCGGAATGTGCTGCTCAAACGCTCAAACGGGTAAGAAACTCCAAGTGTCAAAAGTTGCCTGCCACAAGATGGAGTTAATGTCTGCCAAATTTTGGTTGCGCTGAGATAATATGGGACTCAAAAAGTCTTATTGTCCACAGTGGCGTTCTTGGCTTATTGAAAGAAAAATGAGTATCATGCTTTCGAATCGTTCCACTACAAGGAGAGATAAGGTGCACAGGCAGACGTGTTCCATTCATGGGCACGAGTGTTGAATGCTTGGTCTGATGACAGCGAGCCCATGAAACTGAGCACAAGTCAGGAAATGCAGACAGTCCCGTGGGATCCCTGTCAGAACTCTTCTGGAGCTGGGTGGTCGTCTTTCTGCTCCTGGTTCTTCGCATTGTGGCAGAGCAAACTATGAGTATGAATTAGATGAAGTATTACTGTGAGACTCTTGCAGCATGATTTCAAACTGCTGATTGCAGAGTTCATGCGAGTATCTTACAATGATAATGTTCGAGGGTTGAATGCATATTGTTAGGCTCGGATAGTCCCGAGTGGAAGAGAGATTGGCTAACCACCCAATCAATTCGTTATCAGCAAGTCCTCTATTATTTAAATACTTTACGGATTATGTTGTACAGCCTCGGAACCGAACTGGTGAATCCCCCATTTATTTCTTTACTGCACCACTTTCCAGGAGTGGAGTTCGGGGATTAAAAGCTAGCGTCAGCCCATGTAACCATCAAGCCATCCATTTTGCTTCCAGCAACGCCCTTACCTACCTTACCTTACTTCTTCTACTTTCAATCAAATGGACCACAAAACTTTCTCATAATCAACGCAAATCAACTATCAGCACCCTCGCCCAACAAGCTCCCAAGCTCTCCGCAGCCTCTATCTATACTCTACATCTGTGGGACGAGGACGCCGAAAATGTTCCACTCTTACGCCCATCGTGACCCTTCTCGCAGACCCTGACATAATCTGATCCTCTTGTCGCATCCTGAAATACCATCGTCTTTGCCTTCTCCGCGATTCCAGGGCATCTCCCCTACCCACACCTGTGGCACTCTACCTAACATAAAGCGACTGCCTGACCTCCAGACCATCCACGCTCACCATCATACATCACCCATTGCCTATCTTGGATACCTCGGGAAGCCATCTGCCGGCAGCGGTGAAGTTTGCCATATGGCGAAAGAAGCGTTTCAAGAGACCAAAGTAGACCCGGCCATGTCCTCGCCCGAGTCCAGTTCCCTCGATTCCAACGGCGTTGGTCACACACAGCCAATCTACGATGACAAGGTAGAATCCCGAGCAAGTGTCCCTCGTCGTATTTTCGACAGCTTCAGGCGGGACCCCCATTCTAGGGTCACTCCCAGTGGTGTCGTTGGTGCCAATGGCGCCGTCTTCGATGCCGAAGCGGCTGCACAAGCCACTGCAGATTCGCCGTTGGCCAGGAAGTTGAAGGGACGACATTTGCAGATGATAGCTATCGGAGGGTCGATCGGTACGGCAGTCATCCTGCAGCTGCTTAGCTTAGTGCTAATCCTCTCACAGGTACTGGTCTTTTCGTCGCCTCTGGAAAATCCCTCTCGAACGGCGGTCCAGCATCGGTATTGATTGCATACAGTCTCATTGGGATCATGCTCTTCTGTACAGTTCAAGCTCTCGGCGAAATGGCTGTCCTGTTCCCGGTCGCTGGTTCCTTCTCCGCCTACTCTACTCGGTTCCTTGACCCGGCCTGGGGTTTCGCAATGGGCTGGAATTACGCAATGCAATGGCTAGTGGTACTGCCGCTCGAAGTTGTCGCCGCAGCAATTACAGTCAAGTACTGGAACTCCAAGATCTCTCCTGCCGCTTGGGTTGCCATCTTCCTCACTATTATCATAAGCATCAATTTGTTCGGCGTCAGAGGCTACGGTGAAGCGGAATTTGTCTTCTCCATTATCAAGGTCGTAGCAGTTGTCGGCTTTATAGTACTCGGCATCATCCTCGACATTGGTGGGGGTCCCAATGGAGGGTACATAGGTGGAAAATACTGGCACAACCCTGGAGCCTTTCACAACGGCTTCAAGGGTCTCTGCTCTGTTTTCGTCACTGCCGCCTTTGCTTTTGCCGGAACGGAACTTGTCGGTCTTGCAGCTGCTGAGACTGCTAACCCTCGTAAATCCCTTCCGACGGCAGTAAAGCAGGTCTTCTGGCGCATTGCTCTATTCTACATCGTTTCTCTAACTCTCGTCGGCCTGCTGGTTCCCTACAGCGACCCCCGTCTTATAGGCTCTTCAAATTCGGACGCCAAAGCCTCTCCATTTGTTATCGCCATCGAAAATGCCGGCATCACTGGCCTGGACTCTGTCATGAACGTTGTGATCATGATTGCAGTCCTCTCCGTGGGTAACTCCTCGATCTACGGCTCCTCTCGTACCCTGGCAGCCCTGGCAGAACAAGGCCAAGCGCCCAAGATGTTCGCTTACATCGACCGAAAAGGTCGTCCGCTTGTTGCCATTGTATTTGCTTCTGCCTTAGGTTTCCTCGCGTTCCTTGCGGCATCAAGTAAAGAAGAACAAGCATTTTTGTGGATGCAAGCCCTCAGCGGTCTCAGCTCGATCTTCACTTGGGGCTCCATCTGCCTCTGCCACATCCGATTCCGCAGAGCTTGGAAGAAGCAAGGCCGTACCATTGATCAGCTAGCTTTCCGTTCCCAAGCCGGTGTCCTTGGCTCTTGGGTTGGCTTCCTTTTCAACGTCCTGGTGCTTATTGCACAATTTTGGACTGGCATTGCTCCAGTGCCTAACCAGGATGGCACTCGCGTGACTGGTGCCGCGGCCTTGACCGAGAATTTCTTCGCAGCGTATCTGGCTGTGCCTATCGTGCTGCTATTCTACATCGTTTACAAGGTCCTCTATAAGACTCCTTTCATGAGAAGCAAGGACATGGATCTGAACACGGGAATCAGGCAGCTTGATCTGAGGGAGCTTCAGGCTGAAGACGAGGTGGAGAAGGCGCAGTGGCCGAAGTGGAAGAAAGCCTACAAACTCTTCTGTTAGAACGTCCTTCACTGATCTGAATGCATGATTCTTCATACGGCTTTATAGACACTGAATGGCGTTGGGGCAAGAGTCTATATTGAGAGATATGGGCAGCGTTCGGATGCCTTGGGAAGGGACCGAGATCTAAAGGAGTCTTTGCGCATGATTTGGGACAAGGCAAACCGCGATCTATGCAAGGATACCCCATGGGCACGGTCGGATTTTCGGGGTCTAATTCGGTGTAATAGGTCAGGTATTCGAGATAGAGGACGCATTAGAAAAATATGTTCACCATTGAAACACTCTCTCAAGCGAGACACTGCATACAACGAACAAGAAAAGAAGAGGCCACCAGAGGCCGTGTGTCAGCTAGGTCATTATACGGTTAGCTTTGATCGAAGGGACCAGGACAATTTGTAATCTTTCAATGAATATATCTACTATTCTTAATCCTGTCACGACCTTAGAGCAGACCTCACAAGCCTCTTGTAGCCATCCACGGCTGTCAATAGATGGCTAGCTTTCAGATGCTCGTGATCTGAGTGAGCAACCAAGATACTCCCTGGACCATAAAGATATCGCTTGTGCTTCCCCTTGAGGTTCGGTATATCTGTTCCATAATTAACTGAAACGGTCTCGAACCCTTCCACGTCACTGTCAATGTATACTGGCCCTGGAGTAGAGATTCGCAGTTAGTGTTGCTTATCTGAGAGGGTATATGAAGCCTTGGAACAGGCCGTCAGAGTAGAAACCCCGAAAACATGTCGCAAGACTCTCAGGTTAGGTAGAGAAGAGGAAATGTGGGTCCCTGAAATACGTACCATAACTGCCGTCACTGAAATCAAGCTCTAGGTCCTCGTCCACCGCCTTTACAGCGTCTGATACCAACTTCTTCACAGTTTCCGGGCATCCAGCAGCAATCCTAATACCAATCCTTGCGTAGGCTTCTTCAGCGATTACGTTGGCAGCAACCCCACCTGACATGTGGCCGATATTCAATGTGCTGTTGCCGTACTTCTCGGAGCTTGGAAGTGCCAACTTCTGTAAAGTAATTAGAGCAGGCATGAGCATGTGGTTTGCATTCTGGCCAAGCCATGGATATCCGCTGTGTCCAGCCTTTCCGTGGGCTTTGATCGTCAAGATCATAATACCCTTGTGTCCAGTCGCGAGTTTGAGCTCTGTCGGTTCGCCGAAGATGACGGTCTGCCATTCCATCTCAAGGTCGTTGACCTTTCTCATTCCATCGCCCCCTGTCTCTTCCCCAACAACGAAGAGAAGGGAGACATCATTAGCGGAGATTTCTCCAGAAGCGAGCAACTCTTGAGTCGCATAGATCTGTGCACTGATGGAACCTTTGGCATCCACACTTCCCCTGCCGAATATTTGATCATGCCTGTGAATCTCATAGCCGTAGTGTGGAGGAACCGTGTCGATATGCTTCACCAGGAGTCAGCACTGCCACTCCAAGACAAGTTTTGGGTCACAGGATAACTCGGGGGAGCTTTATAACAAAACCATCGGCGTTTTGCTTCCGCAACATGTACTGAGGCTCAAGTCAAGAGAGGGTACAGGACGGGCGAACATGGCTCCGAAAGGGTGCTTACGCTCGACAGTAGAACGGGAGTCTGCCGGTTTTCTCCAGGGTAGGCTAGGAGATTGAATCTCTGCTTGTGCCTTCTAAGCTCTCCTGCTTGGGAGTGCTGTAAGCCTGTGGGTAGAGGGTCGACATTTTGTCTCTCGACTGTGTAATTGTGAGATCTGAGGTAAGATTCTAGAAATTCTCCAACGGCTTGCTCATTGCCTGAGATGGACTCAATGTTGACCAGAGTTTTATGTAGCGAGAACAACGCATTCTTGCTTAGCTCAAAGTCATTGAGCCCGACCGGCTGCTCGAGTCCGAGATTTAATGGGGATTGAATGTGCTGGGAGAAGGTCGTGGTAGCAAAGGCCAGGGCGCAATGGGCCAGCCATTGAGTTATGAGCATATCGTTATCGACTCGTAATGCGGAGTAAAAGCATAGCCTGAATTGCACAGCGGAGATGGAGATGTAAAGCACGTTGTCTTTGCGGTGGCTACATATTGACTGCTAGAGTTGGAGGCCGGGGTGAGGGGGGGGGGAGGGTGGGGGCTTGGGGGCTGACCGTATCTAGGCATAATGGGGCATCCCATCCCTGTACATCATTTTCATCCAGGGGGGGGTAAAAGGTTACATTGCTCCTTAATCAATCCGGTACCCACGCTACTAAAAAGTCATCTCATCCTCTTGTCGTCAGCTTCATCACACACATATTATCTACCACCGTCGTCGCATTGAATTGACTTACTGTTCATACTCTACACTCGTTTTAAAAGTTGACCCTACACGCGGCTTCTTGCTTCAGGGTCTCGTCCATCTTTTAAACTTCCCGTCTCGTTGGTCTATTTATAATACGATAAATATCCGATTCAAACAACACACTGCGAGTTCCACTACATAGTACAACACTCGATACCGCAGCTCTTACCTAGATCTAACGACTACATTTCTGGGCACCCCAACGCATATTTCCATCCCAATTTCCTCTACCACTCATCACAACGTGCTGCCTGAAACGTTTCAGCCCTGGTCCAAGAACCCAAACATTGAAATCCTTCCGTGAGCTGCCACAATTTTCACCCTTGCTGCCATCACGACTAAGCATACATAGAGGGCAACGGCCATTGGACCTTACGCGTGTAGGCGTTTCGATCCGGAGGCCCGCATTGCTGCAACCATCCATTGCATCTGAGGATGAGATAATTTTCGCCAGGAACCTGTCAAACAAACTACGAGCACCACATCTCTCGATTAGGGCAGCATCAAAGATCTCCTCGAAACCTTCTATATGCCGATCAAGTTACCGAAAGGGTTTCAACGACGCAAGTCCTCCGGGAATGCTCTGGAGGAGCTGCCAAACCCCCCTGAACCTTCGTTCCGCGTCTTCGAGCGTCCCCAAGGGAGGAAATCCTTCGATGGGGGGAACAATTATAACAACTACAAGCGTATAAGTCTGGCGCGGCCGTTGAGCGCAGGGCAATTTGGGGAAGACCACCTCTTCGTCGATGGAAGAACAAGAAACAACCCCCCCAATCGGTACGTTGCGGCGGTGTTCCCATACGAAAGTTGCAGCATACTAAAAATTGCCAGGGGCAGCGGTGGAACCCATAATTCAGCCTCCAGCGGTGGCCAAAATGACAATTCCTCGTCTGAGGCCCGGTTCAGTTCCACGTCAACACTACCATCTTCAGCCGACGTACCTTTGAACGATAGGCCTTCCCCGAATGCTAAAGACCCTTATAATGTACCGACGCCTCCAATCCCCGAGTCAAATCCACTTTCTTTGAGAGCAGCTGGAAGAGCATTTTCTTTCGGTCGAAGGAGAGCGGAGTCACGATCGCTGCCTGTACCTGGACCTGGACCAGTCACGGAACAAGCGAATTCTGATGGCTACGAATCATTCAACCGGCCAAGAGCAATGACGGAGAGTAGCTACACTAGTGGAAGTACTGCAACACCGCCAAAGCTCGATACTCGACTTGATCTGGAACAATCTGATCTTAGTGAATTTGGCAACATGTTTGACAGCTTCGGGAAGAACGAGATCAAGCTGGTGGAGGAGCCAGCAGTGCTGGCCGTAACAAATACACAGAGCCCGGTATGTCTTGAACGACTGACGTACATTGGCCGCCCCCCTAATAGTTCTCTAGAAAAACACATCACCCGCAGGATCTAGGAGTTCGACAAAACAATACTATTCTGAGCGTTCGCCGTACACCGCTTCCCCGATACAGGGCGATCGATACCGCGAAGCAGAAGAGTCCCCCCGTTCCTGGAACAGCGATCATTCGCAGGGAGACTCAACTGCTAGTAGTAGCCAACGAGCAGCAGAAGCCCTTTCTTTCTACAGCAGCAACTCTTCTGGGTCTAGACCTGACCAATTTTCGCCCAAGTTTCAGACCGTGCCACTGCCCGAGTCGACCAGCTCCCCACAGAGGAAGACACAGCAACGGCCTCCTTCTGTCGTAGGAATAGGATTGCAAAGAAATAATATTTATGCATCGCGCAAAACCTCCGGAAGGGAGTCTGCTGACTCTGGCATTTTGCAGGACGAGAATGCCAGACTGGCGATGGACTCTCTTACCACAAGGCAGAAGCTCAGTCGTCAACCTGGCGACTTTGGTGCATATAAAGACAGTGATGACGAGGTAGATAACCCGGCTGCGTCCTTAATCCCAGAGACTTCCTACCCGTCGCCGAATGTAGCCTCTGGTCCTCAACAATCATCCAGGCGGAACACCAAACAGCTATCTCCAACACCGTTATTCGACAGCAGCGATCAGGACTTCTCTGCCACCCCATGGCGGGAAGAATCATCAGAGACCACACCTCGAGCACGAAAGCGTGAATTGATATACCAGGAGGAACGTTCATTGTTCGATGCATCGCCTCAATCGATAGGAAAGTCAGCCCCTCCTGCAGATTCCCAAGTCGAGACTTCCCCAAAAACTGAAAATCAGAACAAGGTTATGACTCCTGCCCAATTTGAGCGGTATCGAAAAGAGCAGGAGATGAGACGAGAGCAGTATTTTAACCACGATGCATCAGACGAAGAGGGGGACGACTACGAAGATGACGACGAGGTAGAGCGAAACAAGCAGCTTGCTCGACAGAGAAGGAAACAAGAGGCCCATCTTTCTGTGTATCGACAGCAGATGATGAAGGTGACTGGAGAGCAACCTTCTGATTTGCCGGATGTACAGCAGCGTCCAGGCATGGACAGATCACGCATGAGCGCACCGAATCTCACGGATCGTTCGAGTACCCCAACCTTCAGCTTTGACAAGCCCCCAGACCCGGCCAAGGCTAGTGACGACGAAGACGAAGACGTTCCTTTAGGGGTACTGGCAGCGCACGGATTTCCTTCGAAGAACAAACCCCCTACCGCTCTCACCAATTCCAGCGCAAGCATCCAGTACAAGAGCGAATCATATCCACCACCTCCATTGTCTACAGCTGGCACATCAGCAGTTGGAGCAGCTCGTAGTCTGCCACCATTTGCACGGAATCTACCTCCAGATCCATACTACGGCGCAGGCCTTGTCAACCCATCGAATCGCGAGTCTCTAGCGCTTGGTCATGGGTCTCCGGCATCAGTTCACGGTGGGCCCCCACCAAGCATGGCACCGGGTGGTCTTGTCGGGGTCATCGCTGGCGAAGAACGTGCGAGAGCTGCGCGAAGGGGAAGCCCCAACGCTCAAGGGAGCTACAGCTCTCCCCTACCTCCAGGCATGTCTCAAATGCAAATGGGAATGTTGCCGGGGATGCCGCCCATGATGTCACCTGGGGAACAAGCTACTGTTCAGATGTCCGAGCAGATGAACCAGATGATGCGAATGCAGATGCAGTGGATGCAACAGATGCAGCAAATGATGGCCAGCGGAGTGCAGAGTGGACCTCAAATGCCGTTTGCTTTTCCTCCTCAACAGCAGCAGATGATGATGATGAATGCCGGAATGGTAGCTCCACCGGGCAGTATCCAAAGACCAGTGTCTACAGGCCCACGTTCTGCACCAGGAATTCCAGCAGGTACACAGGAGAAGCAAATTCGCGCAATGAGTATGATGGGGCCTACATCCGCTGCAGGGTGGCAACCCCAGGATAACAACAGAAATTCTGTGGTCCCAAGCATGATGAGTGGTGCACTTGGGGGCACAAATTCAGGCTACACGGCGTCAATCGCGCCATCCGAGCGCAGTAATGTCGGCATGCCGTCGCGCTATCGTCCAGTTTCTATAGCGCCTGCTGATGAGCATGCGCAGAAATCAGCCGCAAAAACATCTACATTCACAAGTGGAATGCTCCAGCCAGGAGTGTCTGGCGGGAACAGCAGACTGTCTACACCTGGCGATAGGCAAAGCAAACCATCCTTGAGAACTGTCTCTCAAACACCGCCCAGGAAGTCGACCGCTAGTGACGATGACGATGAAGAAGGGTGGGAAGAGATGAAGAAGAAGCGTGAAACAAAAAAGAGCATGTGGAGAATGAACAAACAAAGGGATGATAGCGCGTATCTCTATGATTATCCTGCTGCATAAATCTGGGCTGAGAGTGCTTGCAGCCTTAGGCCGTGCAGGCAAAGGGGATAGCATGCAAAGGAAAAGTCGTAATGTAGGTAAAGAGTTTAGCGGGAGTTGCTCTTGGGCCATAGAGAGCAAAGGACAATGCATATGCATGCGCGTGTTGTTACCTGGTAATAGGTAATTGGATTCCGAGTGTAGCCATAGCATTTCATTTCTGTTGTACTTAGATTGCATGGTCGCATGAGCCATTGGAGGAAGTATCTATCCAAATTTATACATGTACATCTCGTGCTTTCCAACGACGGTGATGTGCTGAGATTCTTGGTCTCATCATTCCATTCAGCCATTGACATTGTCAACACCATAGGTCACACTTAAGGCAAATTATCAAAAAAAAAAAAGTTGATGATTGAAGCGTGGTATTTTCGAATTCACACAGTGATGACAATCAAGCCGAAGAGATTGTCAATCGTTGAGCAGATGCCCTTCGAGCAGATTGTGCTGTGCACAACAGATTCTGTCTTTCGTGCCCATTGCCACTTTTGTAACCCGCAGCGGAGTCAACGACAACCTAATCGGGTATAGTGCGTCTGGAACCGAAGCTTCTCGATAATTCGAGTCGTTGCCACCATGATGGGTAAGCATGGAAGTATCTACGAACTTCGGAATCAAAATGAAGTGCTTGAGATGGGTAAGCATACTGGTAGAATCGAGCATTTTCTAGAATTGGTCTGCTGGGGTATAAATATTCCCAGCAGCACCGACTTGACTCCTCATCATTCTCAAAAGACAAAAACCAAAAGTCGAACGAAGACTACTTTACATTCTGAGCCATCTCTCCCAAAACACAAGAAATCTTCCTCAACATTCTAAATCTACCACAACAGAACATACTCGCACAAAGCCAAACCAAACAATGCAACCATACCGCATCGTCTCCACCCGCTCCATCCCTCGCGTCTGCAAGGCATCCACACCAACTCGCACAATGTTTACCACACCATTCTTCCCTCATTTCAACACCCTGGGCAGCGATTTCGCGCCCCTTTTTCGTCTGCTCGACAGTGCGACAGCCGACCTCGTGCCCTCGTCTCGTCAGCAGGCTCGTCGAACCTTCACGCCAAGGTTCGATGTCCGAGAGGTTGGCGCCAGCTACGAGCTCCAAGGCGAAATGCCAGGCCTCGAACGGAAGGATCTCGATATCGAATTCTTAGACGATCGGACTCTTGTGATCCGTGGTCGGACAGGCATCGAGGCCGCCAAGACCAACGAAGCAGCAGAAGCAGCCGAACCAGCAAGGGCTGTCGATAACGAAGCAGCCGACGACAACGTTTCAGAGAAGTCGGCCAGCTACCAGAAGGCCAGCGTTGAAGACGAATATGTCGATGCGGGGGCTGAGAGTGAGGCTGCTGAGGGGGCCAAGACACCTGCCAGCACCGCCGCTGAGGTAGCACCGACGGCCGAGACCAAGAAAGCTGCAGAGCCGAGCTTCAAGTACTGGGTCAGCGAACGCTCTGTTGGGGAGTTTGAGAGACGATTTAGCTTCCCGGGGAGAGTTGAGCTTGAGAATGTCAAGGCGTCGCTCTCTAACGGCATACTATCCGTCGTCGTTCCCAAGGTTCTAGCCAAGGATTCGAGGAGGATCAACATTGAGTAGGTTGGATTGGAAAATGCATAGCGATGGTGCTAGGGTGGATAAGGCCTAGGCGAGGAGTTCAGGTTTAGCATTAGCAGGTAGAGGAACGATGCGGCAGACACATAATTGAGATCACATCCAAAACATTTTCCACACACTGGTGTATCTGTTGCTAAGATGATAAACGAGCACACTTCGGTGAGTATCGTTACAAATGTTATACAAAAGGTACTTCTTAAGAAGTTTCAAGTGAATTATCCACAGAGTATTATTATTATGATTCTATGTGTGAAGACAGCACCTACCTGCTCGGGACTAGTGCCTCTTGGCAGATTTACTACGGCCTGGTGCCCTAGGCTTGGAGCATCGCACAAAGTCTGAGATAATCAAAGTAGAGTAGGTGAAAAGGGTGCTTGTATCTATATTCTATTTCATTCGTCTCTATGCTCCTAGTTTCGATAAGCCTCCGAGATTTGCTCGTGAGTGTATGGTCCGCAAACCCAATAACACCGCCTATTCTTTTTTGGCTCTGATCTCCAAAGGCTTGGGTAGGTAGATCTTCCGCTCAAAGAATTTTAGGATCTCGTCGATGAATCTAGTAGAGGCTCATTAGCACCTATTCGAGGCCACGTAGACTTTGATATCAACCTACATTACGGGTATGCTTATTAGTAGCACCGCCTGCCACTCGTTCCAATTCAGTGGGACAATGGAGAAGAGCGTCTGTAGGAAAGGGGTGTAGAGTAGAGCGAAGTGAAGGACCATTGACAATGTAATGGCATAGACTAGGATCATATTGTCCCACAGTGGGAGTGTCAGAAGAGATTCGCTAGATGAGAGGGCGTTCATAGCATTGAGCATCTCAATGACGACCAAGCTGAGAATCGTTAATGCGTGATGCTTCGAATACTTGGAATGTACTTACATCGAAAGCGAGATTGTGGACGCAGCTTTTGCGCTGTCGTTCGAGAACATCTCACAACCAATCTCTGGGAACTGTGATGAACACCGGTGGAAGTGAGACTACATGGACCTTGTTAGCATCAAATGCAGCCTTGAAATTTCTCGTCATATGCTCACCAGTTGCCAGAACGTGATTTGAGGACCTTCCGAATTGAACATGAACCACCAGGCATATCCGAAGACTGTCGCTCCACCAACGTAAATGCCAATAACCATATATCTAAAGAACAGCCATCCGCTGACAAGAGCTTCATCGCGGCCCCGGGGTGGTCTTCTCATGACGTCGTGATCTGGAGGGTTGAATGATAACGCCGTCGCTGGTAGACCGTCAGTAACGAGGTTCACCCACAGCAGCTGTACAGGTATCAATGCCTCCGGCATTCCGGCTGCTGCTGTTAGAAATATCGAGACAACTTCTCCAATGTTGGACGAGATTAGGTAGCGGATGAACTGCTGGGTGTTGTTGTAGATCGATCTGCCTTCTTCGACAGCGCTTTCTATCGTTGCGAAATTGTTATCCGCGAGTACCATGTCCGCAGCTAGCTTAGCGACGTCCGTTCCAGATCCCATGGCAACACCAATGTCGGATTTCTTAAGCGCAGGAGCGTCATTCACTCCATCGCCTGTCATTGCGACGACTTCACCGCTTGACTGTAATAGATCCACAAGTTGAGACTTGTGGGTGGGCTCCGTTCGAGAGAAGAGTAGTGCTGTCTTGGCAGCCTGGAGCTTTTCGCCCTCACTCAAGGCATCAAATTCTCTGCCCGTATAACTCTTCCCTTTCAGGTCTTCGTGATCGCCAAAAACGCCAATCTGACGACAGATTGTCTCGGCTGTATTCTGATTATCTCCGGTAATGACCACCACACGAATGCCTGCCTCTCTGCATTTCATGATGGACTCTGCAACCTCAGGTCGTGGCGGATCAAGCATGCCTACTAAGCCGATCAAGGTCATGTTTGTCTCCAAGCGAGTGTACTCTTCCGTAGTCTTTGCTGAGCTTAGTAGAGGATTGGATCCCACATCTTCGACACTGGCAAGCGCAATGACTCGAAGCCCACGGTTCCCATATTCGACAACCTCCTCGGATATAAGACTTGTGAGCTTTTCATTCAGCGAGACCCGCTTTCCGTTGGAACCCAGTAAAGCATGTGTGCATCGCTCCAGGACTGACTCTGGCGCTCCCTTCACAAGAAGACGTTGTTGCGGGCCGTTGCCAACAAGAACAGACATACTCTTGCGGTCTCGTGAGAATTCATATGTGGCAAGAAGCGGATTCTTCTCCTCAAAATACTTGCTGGCATGGTGCATTCTCTCATGTACGGGCAACTCTCTAGCCGCTTGGTTTATGGCTGGCTCCGGTGTGCCTATCTTTTCCACAAGAACACGTAGTGCGCCTTCAGTGGGCTCGCCAACGTTGCTATATGTCATGTTCCTTGGATCGAAAGATAATTGCGACTCGTTACATAATGCGGCGACTTCTGTCATCTTCAAGACCATCGAAGACGACGCTGCTAGATCGTTCATATACTTGCCACCCGATAGAATGCCGCCTTCTGGAGAAAATGTCGTACCTTGTACATCGATTTCCTCGAGATCGGTGCCAGATTCATTCAAGAACACCATCTTGTTGACACTCATCTGGTTTGTCGTCAGAGTACCAGTCTTGTCGGAGCAAATCACGCTACAGCTTCCAAGTGTCTCAACAGAGGGCAGACTTCGGACTACTGCATTCTTAGCCGCCATTTTTCGAGTCCCTAGAGCAAGACAAGTCGTGATGACAACAGCTAGACCCTCCGGAATTGCTGCAACGCCAAGGGATACGGCAATCTGTCCGCTCATTTAGTACCTCAATTTCGAGTCGGACCCAGTTGACTATACCTTGAGATAGTAGATAGCTCCTTTAGCCCAGCTGCCATGTGAAGGATCGTTGAAGTGTTGGATATTGATCAGCCAGACAAGAATGCAGATGACTGTGATAACCTTTGCGAGCATGTCTCCAAAATCGTTCAGTTTCTGCTTCAACGGCGTGGGCTCAGAGATTTGCGACGTAATGCTTTCATGAATATCTCCGATAGCCGTCGATGCTCCCGTCAGAACAACTAAAGCAGTGGCGTGGCCTGTGGACACGGTGGTACCCGAGAAGAGCATGTTGACTTGATCCTGTTTAACAGCTCTCGAATCTTGAAGCGCCATGGTGTCTTTGCCAACGCTTTCACTTTCCCCAGTCAGGATTGCCTGATCAACACGGAAGCTGTTGCTCTGGATCGATAGTACTCTGCAATCCGCAGGAATCCGATCCCCCACTGCCACCGAAATGACATCTCCAGGGACGAGGTCATCCGCTTTTATGCGCTTCAGCGCGCCGTTTCGGACCACCTTGGCTTCATTTGCAGAGTACTCCTGTAGCGCCGCAATAGCCTTTTCTGCGCTACTTTCCTGCGAAACTCCAACGACCGCATTTAAAATTAGGATGGTCAGGATCTGTTCATGAGTCAGCGTACTTCCTACTTAATCAGGGCTGAGAGCACCGACAACTGCTGGATCCACGAAGGCAGTCCATCCTTCCCCGTCTTCGAACAAAGCGAGGACAAACGATATTGCAGCTGATCCCAACAGTATTATGACGAGCTGGTCTTTGAATTGCTCGAGTATAAGCTGCCACAAAGGCGTTGGAGGGTCTTCTGGCAATGCTATGGAGGTAACATTAGCACAGTCTTGCGGATAGAGATGTGATGATGCACAGTACCGTTGCGCCCATACTTTTCTAAAGATCTCCGAACCTGTTGCTCGGAGAGACCTTGCTGTTCATCGACTTGAAAGTGCTCCAGACTCTGCTCGGTTGAGGAGAGGTATGAAGCGTCCATAGTGTCCTCAAAAAGAAAGGATTGCGTTGGGACACTGACCGGCAGAAGTCCAATGCTTCTTGGAAAGGGCGTCTTACAAAGCGGTAGTGGCAAGAAGTATACCGTCTGAAAGAACGACGTGGAGGATATAGCATTCTAGGGGAAAGAAAACCTATTGGTGATTATCCTCGCATGAACGTGTCCTTTGCTTTGATTGGTTGATTTTTCTCTCTTACGGCAGAACATTTGTCCTAGTCTCATTCGTTCCCGCAGGGTTCCAGCAGAGCCTCAAACTCCATTTACTCAGCGGCGTTCATTGCCTACGAGAGAGCAGTGACTCGCACGAGTCACCTATAACGAGTAATTGCGCATTTCTATTGCTATAGAACAACATGGAGATTGTAATACTACTCATATCCAAAGATTACCAATGCTTTATGCCGTTACATGCTACGCTCGTGGAAATGGAGCGGACAGAGAAAGAAGAGCATTGGTTTCGAGAGGACCGAAACCTAGGTGCTGAATTGTCGGGCACAAGGGCAGATGGTTAGCCATCCTTCCCCCAAGCGGAACATCGATTAACAGCAAGGTCCCGATATCCATAAACGTCTTCTTAGGGTCTAGAGCCGTGCAAAGACACCAAACGTAGATTCGAGATCATTCTCTAACAAAGCCAGTAGTCAAAGTACATCGCGTTCGTTTGGGGTTTCGTAACCGTAGATTAAGTGTCTTGTCATCCATATTGTGGAAGATGGCAGTAAGCGTATGCTGCACTTGACTTGAACGCAAAGCATCTGCAGCTAAAGGCAATTGCAGGGCATTGCTACAACGATCCCAATGTTTGTTTGGGCCCAGGGTAGGGCTGATTAGCGTCGTCGTCGCTTATTGCGCGGCTGCCGTAATTTGCTGTCAAAACCTCACCACCACTCTTCTACCAAGTCTGTCCTCGAGTGTATTCCATCGATTGATACGTCGCACATATCTGCATCAAATCTTGCTAAGATCAGAAGTCACTTTCCACTTCTCACATAGACCGACTTGATACACCATGACGAGTGAGGTAAGTTATCAACGCGCCTATCTGTCCGGGCGGTCCCTCACACCAACCCCCCTCCGCCATAAAGCCCGTCTTGAACAATAGCTGACCCGAGAATAACTTTTACAGCGTGAAAGGTACTCACCTATTCTCCTCCTAACAGACTTGGCGGTTGACTAAAGTGTCTTACAGCAAGACATTTCTTGCGAGGCTGTGTGAGCAAGCCGAGCGCTACGATGGTACGCATTAATTTCAGGCTCGTCATCACGATAGATCTAATACTGACATTGACGCGTTTCAGAAATGGTCACGTACATGAAGGTCAGTTAAATGAATCCATTTAACGTTCTCCATGCTCACACTACGCAGGAAGTTGCAAAGGTACTACATCTCTAGCCACCAAACAAGCAGGACAAACAGTATGAGAGGGATCAATATCTGATGCGAAGATTAGATTGGCGGTGAACTCACGGTGGATGAGCGGAACCTCCTTTCAGTTGCATACAAGAATGTCGTTGGAACCCGACGTGCTTCCTGGCGCATAATCTCGTCAATCGAGCAGAAAGAGGAGTCGAAGGGCTCAGACAAGCACGTTGGTACCATCCGCGATTACCGCCAGAAGATCGAGACAGAACTCGAGCGTGTATGTCAAGATGTGCTTGATGTGTTGGATGAATCCCTCATCCCCAAGGCCGAGTCAGGCGAATCAAAGGTGTTCTACCACAAGATGTATGTGAGGCGAAGAAGGAGATGAGCAAAAAACTCGGCATTGCAACACATGCTAAGTATGAGATTTAGGAAGGGAGACTACCATCGTTACCTTGCCGAGTTTGCGTCAGGTGAAAAGCGTAAGGTTGCTGCTACTGCTGCCCATGAGGCGTACAAGGTATGGCACCTTCATATAAATGCGCCAGCAGCCTGCTCACCTCAAGATAGAACGCTACAGACGTTGCCCAGACCGAGCTCACTCCCACGCATCCTATTCGCCTTGGTCTTGCTTTGAACTTCTCGGTCTTCTATTACGAGATCCTGAATTCACCCGATCGCGCTTGCCACCTTGCCAAGCAGGCATTCGACGACGCAATCGCGGAGCTCGACTCCCTCTCTGAGGAATCCTACCGCGACAGCACTCTCATCATGCAGCTGCTCCGCGACAACCTTACCCTCTGGACTTCGTCAGATGGCGGTGACGCTGAGGCTGCCCCAAGTGGTGAGGCATCGAAGGAGGGTGAAAAGGCAGCCGAGCCCAAGGCTGAGACCTCTGCAGCTAGCGAGGCTCCCGCCGAGGCTGCGCGTCCTTCTGAAACATAGGGACCTTCATGGCCCCATCTGCTCTGACTTGGCCTTGGTTATCATCGTCACTGAAACGAGCGGAGTGGTGTACGGAAAGCTGAGATGTAACCACCAGGTCTTTGCAGTTGTCTTCCATCTTGCACGTTGTTTGTCATGCTGTGCGCGAAAGGTAGAGAGCAGGAGGGTCGTCTAGTCAGCTCAATCGGCTGAACTGCAGAGGTCTTTTTTTCTTTTGATCCATCATCCCAGCCTTCAAAGAGTACTTCTTCTCCTCGCGGAGACCCTGCTATTCTAGATAGGAGCTCGCAAATACAAAACCAGTCTCTACCCCAAGGCACATTTCGTAATACTTCCATTGTCACTGCCTATTAAATCAAATGTTCGCTATTTGGGACTGGATCCTATCAACTTTAGTCTTTAGCTTGTACTACTGGCAGCTATATGTAATAGGATCGAGCAACACTGATGCATAGAGGCGGAGATTGCGTGCGAGACTTCCGAAGAGTCAGAAGCTGAAAACTTCAAGCTCTACAGTCAGACAGGTTGTTGAACGAGAGAAAGATCAATCGCAAGGCTTCCTCCTCTCAACTCAAGCACACATTTACGGATATCAACCAGACTGAGATAAATATTAATCTCAAGAAACCCCGAATATAGGTGTTCTGTGAAGCAAACAAGAGAATTTTCCCTCGCTAACAGGAACATTAATTGAGGGTTCGTCTGAGCACAACTGTCACCATTTCTGCGAGGGTGCCCCAAATTCTTTCAATTGCACAGACGATGCGTACGCCACCCGAGCCTGGTCCTGATGCTTTTACCAGAATGTTTTCGCTTTATGGTCCACGTTGCGGTTCTACTACTATTAGAACGACTCGCTCATAGAATGCCTGGGTATCCGTTACGATGTCCGCTCAAAATCAAATCAATATGCAAGATGATATCCTTCTTCACCAGAGATGCGTCATCTTCAACAAGTCGTGCCGGCTGAAGAAAGCTCTATTCTTCTTACCCAAGACATCTGTAGATGCAGTCAGCACAAGTGAAGACTAGAAAGATGCGCAAAGGTTTTTGCAGTATCTTACACATGGGAATACTCAGCAGGCAAATGCCAACCTGAATGCTTGCAATGACGTAGAAAACTTTTAGTATGCCGCCTTGAACAAGCCAATGGTACGCTCCCCACGTTAACCCGAAGCTGAACAGGTTTTTGAATCTGGTCGAAGAAATCAGTCAACCTATTGCATCAGGACACGGAAGACGCACATTAGAAGGCATGTAAAGGCTTCGACAGCGATATCCCCTGAGTAGCTATTAGCATGTTTCGAATGACAGCTTTTCTATAGGACAAGAAGAGCTTACGATGTGCATCGACGATGTACAATGCACTAGAAACAGCGCCGAGGACTGTGATCATTGTCAGACCACGGTGGATTTGAGATAGAATTGATTCGAAATACGCGGCCGAACTCACCCATGCCCATTACCTCCAGCGCGTAAAAAAAATCTGGCCAAAACCAACCATATTTCGCAACGTTATTTGCTGTGATCCCAAATCCATACAGTCCCGCACATCCACATACCAATTGTGCCGCGACAAGTATGATACGGAACTCCGGTTCATAAACTCCGTTGTTCCTCCGAATCATTATCTTTGCGCTCCAATCAGCTAACAAACCTGCTAAAAGGAAGCCCAATATTGCTCCAATAAATGGTCCTGTGTACATATAGCCGGTGTGTACTTCGTCGAACCAAAGGGGGGGTCCGAGAAATATCGCCTTCAAGTTTTCGGAGTTAGCATTACTTATTCAAGATGATTTTCGAGTCAGGGAACATGTTCCGAGAGCAAGATCCTGTCGAAAAATGTCTCTGGAGACGAAATCTTGCTAGAGAACAGGAAGCATCAAATCCCAAAGGTAGACTTACAGCTAGAACCACACCAATCATAACAGTCCAACCAATGAGGGCGCCTCTAGATTCCAGTTTCGCAGTCAGTATTGCCTATCCGAGGAGGTACATTGAGCCTTGAAACATGTATCGAGAGTAAAGGCTCCCGAGACATGTCTCAAGAGTCATTATTTGCTCCAAATGGGGAAATACGGGCTCCGAAAATACGTACTGTATTAGACATGCCCAAAATATGGCTGGATGAAGGAAGAGGGGGATCGGACGGAGAACTAGTCTCAAGAAGCTTTCGTCTGTCTTCCGGCCATTGAAGGGGAGGAGAGAGCGGGCAAAGCTAACTTTAGGGGGGACCTGTGTAGTAGAGCGATGTTCTGAGATTGAGAAGTGATCCTTTTTGAAGGAGACCGGCATGCTTGAGTCTGGACTTTTTCCGTCCTCGGTGGGGCGTATTTCGCACACAGGGGTGATATTGGAAGAAGAGCTATGCTGGACAGACTCCTCGCCTCTGATGTCAATATTTAAGGAGTCGTCCCTTCGGAAGGCGGTTTCCGGGACGAAAAGGAATACAAATGGCAACATAGCACCGCAGAAGATGGCGATAAAGTAAAATGACCACGGCCAGCCTATGGTATGAGTGATCTTTCCCACCAAAATGGGTGTGAAAAAGGCTCCACCAAACAGAGCAAGATTTGAGCAGGCCATGCGTTTACCTCTTTCCTATATCACAGGTCAATTGGTCGTCCATTTCGTGCACTCACAGACCAAGGTAGGGCATACGTGAATGAAGTAGAGATCTCCCACACTTGCGTTGACCAGCGCCTCGAACGGCGCCAACCCTACCCCTTGAATGATTCTTGCCCACAGCAAGCTTTTGTAATTTGTCCCGGCGGCACCTCCCCACACGCTGGAGCCAACAATAAGAACAGTACCCAGCAAGAATAGGTGACGCTTGCCCCAAACTCGCGCGGAGGCTACGAAAAGGAAGCCAGCCACGCCCACTCCTAGCAGATGATAACCCGTGGCAAGTGCCATCTGCGTAAAGTCTTTGTCGAAGAGCAACGATAGTGTGACAGTGTTTGCAGCGAGCAAAGGACTCAATGTGGAGGCAATGACCGAGAGGATTGATAGGATGGCGAGGATAGCATCACGTTTCCATAACGGCCAATTCTAATTCCATCAGCTTAGCGATGTCGCGACTAGGAAGCTCTTTCATACTAGAGGGTCGTTTGGATCGTCACTAGGTTGTGGCACGAGTATGACGGGAATAGGACCACTTGTAGTATCATACTTCAGTCGCCGCGACTCGAGTTGCCCGTCCTGCGTCGGTCGACTGGCATCATCATACATGAAGGCGGTCCCTAGCATCACAAGTAATCAGCGTCATTGAGAGCCAAACCTCAGAACAACGAACCGGGGACTGTCTCAACTCTTGAAGATTCCAGGATTCCAAGGCCCATCTTGACGAATCTTCAGTCCTGATGACTGTCCGGTCTTGTTGAAGGTGCTAACTATGGAAGCTCGGAGGTGTGTGTCATAATCAGCATGCTCTGCGTTTTGAGCTTGTTCGCCCGGCACCGCTCCCCTGTGCCCAAGTATCTTATGAGTGTAGAGCGCCCCAGGCGAGATCTTCTGGACGATGACAGCTCTTGAATCTTAGCAGTTTTACGTCGGATGTATCATTTGCAGGTACAACTGTACCCAGGAATTTTTATTTGTTGGAAGACTTTGGTCAATCAGGCAGACCAGGTTGAATGCAGACACTCGTCTGGAGTCGTCTCTTTACTGACAGTGATGAAAGGAAAGGGAATAGAGTCGATTTAGCAGTAGAGTAGCGTATCCGAGGTTCCTCCGAAGAGCGAACCCCACCACCCCAATCCCCAGTCTCTTTTATCAAACGGCTCGGGCAGTGACATCACACTGGTAGAGTACTACCTACATTACTACTATAGTACCCCTCGACCTTACTCTGCTGATCTCTGAATGCATACTCCTTAAGTCACATAGGTGCGGACCGTACTTAGTCAACAAGGCACGGATAGTCTAACTTCAAGATTTAAAGTTTGATATGTGCTGGGGCGCGGGGCTACCCAGTAGCGGAAAGCTTGTCGATACCGTGGGAAGACACTGCCTTACATACCCATGATCCACCACTAAATCACTCTAATTATTCGGGGACTCTCTGAGAGCTCTCCGAGAACTGCGGCCGAACGGGCTGCCGAAGTAAGCTCGAAGCCCTCATATTCAGAGAGTCCGCGAATAATTAGATTGCTTCTAACTGGTAGAATTGTTACTCTTAGTATATCTTTACAAACACTTTATCAAATTTCGTCTATGCTACATTATTTGAGAGTGTATAAGTAATTCTACAACTCTATAGACTCACTTTATTATCATATTGTACTTATCACGAAAGGAGTTAAAGAAGATAGATTTCGAGATTTTGAAGTTCTTACTCAGCTTTCTCTTTAGGACGTACCCGCGTTTAGCTTAGAAAAAAGAAACACCGTACCTAAGATAAGTTTTAGCGTGAAATTAGCGGAATGGGAGGACCTGATTGATCAACCTTATTTTCATGGTTGTCGAACATTTTGTGATTTCAGTCTTGAGATTGAGAAAGCAAGCTTTTCAATAAAAGGCTAAAGGCAAATCATGGACAGCTTGGTCTAGGCCTTTGAGTCCAGGGTTCGGAAATACCTTAGCATGAGCCATTGATTAGCGGATGAGCTTAAAACCTACTGCTCGCCCTTTTGGTCTCACCCCCAGACCCCTTAATCGGTGCCGGTTTTCACGGCCAATAGCTCCCGCGACGGCGCGACATTAACAAAGCCAAATGCTTGTATCGGATATGGCCTCAGACAGTGATCAAAGTGTGTCTATTTTAGCGAATAATACTTGCATTAACGAATTTAATCTTTTAGTTGACCATTCTATAGAATATCTTAGGTTTATTATTAATATGAATTATTTTAAAGGTATCGCGAACTGATTCTTACTGCTAGCTGATTTGGTGGTGTAAGAAAGCTTAAATACTGACTAAAGGCCTAGTGCGAGGTTTAGGTTGGCCTTGGAAATCGACCAAGGGATATCAAAACACAGGACTGGTAAATCTGCTTCTGCTTCTGGTTATCAAGAATTATCTTTCTTTCACATGTAACAACCCGGTTGAAAGAAATGAAGCTCCTGATCCAGACCACCTTGGTCGGGCTCGCTACCCTCTGCGCAGCCCAACTTCAAGACCTACCTGATTGTGCCAAACCTTGTGCTTCAAGTTTGCCCAGTTCGTGCAAACTAAACCCCTCATGCATATGTGCCGATGATTCATGGATAAGTGGGATCTCATGCTGTATTGCAACGGTAGCTACTATTCAATTATAGCTTAGGAACATATGACTCTAATTTAAATGCGAATAGAAGTGCTCTCCATCCGATCAACAAAGTGGGCATTTCTCATCCAAAAGTCGCAATCACTAGGCATCATACTCATCCAACTGCACAGGAACGCTCAATGTCGCCGTTCAATTTTGTGATACGTAAGTCTTAGCAGCTCAAATCGCAAATATCTTTCGCCTCTCCTAGAATTCACAAAAACTCGATCCGCTGACTATCATCTTATATAGTGTCAACGTAAAGCTGCCATCTGCAGCAAGTTGTCCCGCGTCTGCTAGTGCCACCGCAGCAGTCAGCTCTGCCGTAGGCGGGGGCAACAGTGCCGCCAGTGCAGGCGGGAGTACCGCTGCGTCTGCGGTCACAACAAGCGCTGTCTCTGGTGCCGAGACCACATCATCGAGTTCTGCCACAGGGGGTTCTACTACTAGTACATCTGCTACTGGTGAGTGGTGTTCTCTTGTTACTACTCCCTCTGGATCGCAATCTTTTGGGCCCGTTCCCTTCATACTCCCCACGAAGCATCATATATTGCAATATCTGCTGCATCCCGAACAACGGCATCCTGGAGTCTTTTACTGGTTTCAAAACCGGTGATTCACAGTGTGTGGCCAAGATCCTGCAATCTTTCTGTCCGCGTTCCGATCTGACGCCCTGTTTCTCGCGGCAGTAGCACTTTATTATTGAACTGCAGAGGGGAGATTGGGGTCGTATCCAGAATACCGCGTTTTGACTCTGCCTCAGACTATCTATTTGACAGCTGACAAAATCCAGGGTCCTCATCGTCCAAGATGGCATCAACCTCAAGCTCTGCAACTCACGCGTCCACCGGCGCAGCTCAGGTCTGGGGCTCAATTATGGGCGCTGTAGGCGCTGCTGTGGCTGTTTTAGCATGGTTGTAGCTTAGGCCGTTTCCGGACGCCGTCTTTAGTATTTCTTTTCTTGTCCTGGTTCCCCACATATAGGAAGAATTGATCACAACGGGTTGTGTGCTACTGTAAACTCGCTACACAAGCATACCAGGCCCCGTACTTCGATATTGGAATTGGGAGCCTTTGTGGACATGTTCGTGTCCTGTGTATCGAGATTCATGTTAGAACTATGCCAGAGCGAATTATGTGGTGGTGTGTAACTAGGATTTAATTGATGAGGTCTATGCTATGCTATGGGTAGGAGAATATGTAGGCCACGGTGAGAGTAATAATGGTATCTACATTAGGATTGAGTTTCGGTGTTAAGCTAGCGCAAAATGCTAAGTCCTGGCCATCGTCATCAGCGACGATTCCTTCCGAGATAATGTCCTAGGTGACCGCCTGCTATTTGCGCGGTGCTTACTTGCTTCGTTTATAGCAAAAAAGGTCGCGCGCGGTCATGCATCAAGCTTGATACTTCTCACCATGAGGCACTCCAGTATACAGCTGCGCTCGGATGGTCAGTAACCATCGTTCAGCTACAGGAGCTGTTGAGTTACTGAACATACACCCAGAGCAAGTGCCGGAGAACCTTGTTGCCTTGCTTGATGGACGAAATTTATCCTCCTCAGAACCCTCAGAACCAGAGTCCGAACGATCAAAGAAAAGGCGAAAATTGACAGGGCCGAATGCGTCACAGACGCCCCTTCACTCGTATGATTCAAATGACTACTTGACTCTTGCTCGGGTGGATATTTACTTGGTGAGATTATGCTTGAATTCGAGAGTCTGCACGGACTAAGTTTGGATCAGGCATTTCGGAAAAGCCCAAGCGAGTCATATCCATCGCCCTCTCCAGACGAGAACGACAAAGAGCACCAGGTGCGGCTTGAACGGTTCGCTGAAAGGACTGATGGAGAATACTCATGTCGGATCACCACGGTGCACGGTCTTGCCCTTTTCGACGAAGTGATCCGTTCAAGCATTGATCCGCAGACGTTAGAGGTATTGCAGATAGCCACAAACCCTCCCAGTCGCCGGCAACCGAAAAAAACATTGAGGAGCAATTGCACACTCTCTAAATCACTGGGCTTTGACCATGGTGCGAAAAGATCGGGCTTCGAACTTGACGCACGTGATTACACGCTCGATCTTTGCGTCAGGATTTTAGTGCGCAATGCAAGGAGCTTGTCTGACAGCATCGGTATATCTCGAAACGACATACTAGACATCTGCGCACCTGAGAGTCTACCGGAAAAGACGGATTCCTGGTCTCCTCGGGACTTTTACGATAACGTTCATGTGCCTAAAAGTGATGGGGTGGCGCCAGATGTCCCGTCAATTGAGCAACTTCAGTGTGAGCTGTATCCTTTCCAGAAGAGGGCCGTTCAATGGCTTCTCTGGCGAGAAGGAGCCGTAGAAGCCCATGAGTCTCCTGAAGAGCTCCCAAAGCTCCCTCATGGATTTGTACACACTACCGATGGGGACGGCAGGCAATGCCTTGTCAGCAATTTTTGGGGCATGGCGACAACCGATGATCTAGTACCAGTACACATGGGCTCCGAACCAAAGGGGGGTATACTCGCAGAAGAGACTGGACTGGGCAAGACGGTGGAGTTGGTGGCATTACTGCTGTTAAATCCGGTAAATCCGGCTAGGCAGTCTCCTTCGCCAAAGGAATTACCACGGTGCTCCGCGACACTTATCATCACACCCCCTGCTATACTTCAACAATGGAAAAACGAACTGCAAGGTCTTGCTCCCAGTCTCAGTGTGTTTGTCTACGAAGGACTGCGAGTCGAGGCTGGCAAAAGCGATCATGAAGCGCTAATGTTGCGGTGCACGCAACATGATGTTGTTTTGACAACCTATAATGTACTCACCAGAGAGATTCACTACGCTGAGACGCCTGACCGGAGTCTACGCCACCAGAAAAGGTACGAGAAGAGGCTCTCTCCGCTCACACATATCTATTGGTGGCGAGTAGTGCTAGATGAAGCTCAAATGGTAGAGAGCGGAGTCTCCAACGCTGCTAAGGTTGCGAAACTCATACCCAGAGACATAGCTTGGTATGTACATTCCCGAGCAGTCGTTTCTTAACCCATACCACAGCGAGAGCGAATTTTGCCTTGTGCCCTTTCGGGCTGTTCCGTTACTCGGGTTCTTGTCTCGAAGGAGTTCTGATTCCGAAATCTTCATAGGTGCGTTAGCGGCACTCCGGTAAAGAAAGATGCGAGGGATCTCTTCGGGCTTGTCGATTTTTTGTGCTACAAACCATATTGTGATTTTCCTACACATGTGTGGGAAAGCCTTGTCATGCGGCATAGGAACGTTTTCAAGCAAATTTTTCGTACCCTTGCTCTCCGCCACACGAAAGATCAGATCAAAGATGACATCCAATTGCCGCCGCAGAGACGGGTGGTTGTCACCGTACCGTTCACGCAAATTGAAGAACAGCATTATTCGACGATATTTGGGCAAATGGCCGAGGATTGTGGCTTAAACCTGGATGGAACCCCACGAATAGACGATTGGAATCCTAATTTACCTGCTACCGTCGAGAAAATGCGCAGTTGGCTGATTAGACTACGACAGACTTGTCTTCATCCTGAGGTTGGAGCCCGCAACAGGCGGGCCCTAGGTAGTGGTAAAGGACCTCTGCGTACTGTTGGGGAAGTTCTTGAGGTCATGATAGAACAAAATGATATTGCGGTTCGCTTGGAAGAACGCACGGTACGCAAAGCCCCAAGTGATCCCTTGCTTAAATATTCGGGAGCTGAAGGGTTCATGCTCCCGACTGTGCTTTGCGGCCCTGTCTTACGACTCAAATCTGGGCACCGATTTCACCTTGCAAAACCCTGCTGACCCTTAAACCCTTATCAGCTTTTATTATCTCAAGCACGAAGGGGGCAGATCCTTGAACATGCTGAACAGAGCGAGAAAGCCTTAGAAATCTGGTCGCACACCCTCGAAGATGCCAAGTCAATCGTCCATGATTGCAGGGGGCAATTGAAAGCTGAGATTGATCGGCTGAGCATGACTGAAGAGGCCATGGAAAAGAGTGACGAAATGGAATCAGCGACAGTCATACGTACCGGACCCCACCGACAAAGACTGCGTGCAGGTATGTACATATTCACAAAATTTGCCTAATGATTTGTTGTTCTGACTGAAACTGCGCCTGGAGATGTAAAGCTAACCTCAAATCATACACAGCTATCGAGATTGAGCATATGTGTACCTTCTTTGTTGCTAATGCTTATTACCAACTAAAGACCGATGAAACGAGGATCAAACCCGAGTCAGAAGAGTTTTCTGAGCTGCAAAGAAAAGAAGAAATGACATATGAAAGGGCAAAGATCCTACGCAAAGAGTTACTGCGAGAAGCCCACACCAAGGCTGAAATGCTGATGAGCAGGGTTAATGAAAAGGTTAACGCAAAATCCCTAGTCAACATCCCAGAGATCTCGCCACTCAAAAATCGAGGGGGCATTGAATCTAGAAGTATTTTTGAGAGACTGGAGAGTATGATCGCGATCATGCAGAATCAAGCAAAGCAAATCAACGAATGGCGGGAGAAGACAATTCAACTTCTACTTCTTACGCTTGTCGATGAAGAGGAGGCTGATCTTCAAGGAGACGAATACGAGACCTCGACGAAACGACAAGACGAGGTGTGTTGCAGGGCGCCAGCGCCCAGTTTGTTGACTTCTACTGATTTCACTCTAGGTTTATGTGTACGTCGACGCTTTGAAGGCCCTCATTGCGGACCGTCACGACGTTTTGACCGGTCAGGATAATGAACTTATCAAACACGAGATGAGTGTTGCCTCAAAGCAAGCTAAGGAGGGCAAGGGTCATTCTCCCGAGCTATTACTTAAGCTCTTGTCCACCCGAAATCGACTTAAGCCTGCGAAGGACGTAGGGTCTGTTAGGGGCATGATAACAGAGCTTCGTGAACTTAAGACCACTCTCCGGGGAGCGACTGAGAAAGGCAGTTCTCGAGCAGCGGCAGAGCTATTGCTAATCAACGTCGCATTGGAATATTTGCATCAAATTTCAGCGGGACAAACGAAGGCAGTGGCAGGTCTAGATCAGGAAATCGAGTTATTCAAAGACACCATGAACCTGCGGCTTGATTATTACCGACAACTACAACATATCTCAGACACGGTGGCTCCTTACGAGGAAGACCTGAGCGAAGAAGCTCGCAATGGTATTCTGCTTGATAAAAAAGCATCCGAATCTCGTACAAAAGCTCGCATTGCAATGTTGAAGTCTAAAGGCCGCTATCTCGTGCATTTACGGGATGAAGCCACCAATGTCGAAAGTCAGAGACTGTGCATAATATGCCAGCAGCCATTTGAAGTGGGTATCTTGACCTCATGTGGACATTCCTACTGTGTCGAGTGTGTCCGTCTCTGGTGGGGATCTCATAGAAATTGCCCAACGTGTAAAAAGCATCTGACGAGGAACGATTTTCATCAAATTACGTACGTATTCACGAGTCTCATTGTGCATAATCATCGTTAAGGGGCTGATTGGAGTGTAGTTACAAACCGCAACAGCTTAGCATGCAGGAAGAAGCGCAGGAGAAAGAAACGGAAGTCAGGGTGGCGAACGGCATGGAAGAATCTGCAATATATTCTGGAATTCGCGACACGGTCCTTCATCAGATTAAAAATATTGACCTCGGCGGCTCATTTGGAACGAAGATCGATACCATCGCCCGACACATATTGTGGATTCGAGAGCACGATCCGGGCGCTAAGTCCATTGTCTTTTCTCAGTATCGAGACTTCCTGGATGTTTTGGCAAGAGCCTTTACTCAATTTCGAATCGATTTTACAGGCATCGACCGAAAAGATGGGGTACAGAAGTTCATGACCGACCCTAGCGTATGTCTTGGAGGACAGATGACACGGAAGGCGAAATACTGATATTGTGTAATAGAAGGAATGCTTCTTCCTCCACGCCAAGGCATCATCTTCTGGCCTCAACCTGGTCAATGCTACACACGTCTTCCTTTGCGAGCCGCTGATAAACACAGCGATCGAGCTGCAGTATGTATTTTTCGAGTCTCAAGTAGGCAATGCTAACTTGACATTGTAATCCAGAGCGATTGCGAGGGTGCATCGAATTGGACAGCACCAGGTGACTACAGTGTGGATGTATATTGTGGAAGACACGGTGGAAAAATCAATCTATGACATATCCGTGACCCGGCGGTTGGCGCACATGGGTCGCTCACGTGCCAAAACGGGGAGGAGCGAAGAAGCGAATCTGGAACACAAGATTGATGCGGCGAATACTATGGAGTTGGAAGAAAGCCTACTTGGAAATCTTCTTGCCAAAGGTTCAAGCAGTGGTGAGGTGGTTGGTAAGGAAGACTTGTGGAAATGCCTCTTTCGCGGCCGGCCAGGACACACCCAGTACTCTCCGGAAGCAGAGGGAGCAGTCGCCCGACATCTTGGAGGGACTGCCGCCAAAGCTCGACTGAACTTGGACGGGCAATCTTGGAACAGTGTATGATTCAGGCCACGAAGAGATTCCTTGCACACTGCTTGGTGGACGTACGACTACCAGTCAATAAGAGGAACGGTCATGCAGAGCTTGGCAAGAGAATTGTCAATTTGATCTGGTATCTTGACATACTCCACTATCTGCTCTTATTGATTTGATTGAAGTTGCAGAATTGTGGCATGTCTTGAATTTGAGTGGTTCCTTGGTTTGTTACGATCATACGAGTTGAGTACTTTATAAAGTACTTTACCTTAGGCAAGGTACGCTCGGTAAGATTGATTAGAGCTCAAGCTTCACATCCGGACTTCCCGACGGGCCGACTAATCATGACGTCATAAGGTTTTTTTTCTCCATGAATGGGAAAGTTGAAAGCGCATCCGAAGCCGAAACTTGCCAGGGAATGAGTGTATGACTTTGTTTCTTATTCTTATAACTTACCCTCCTTTACTTTCCTTACCTTTACTTTCCTTTACCGAGTAACCTTTCACCTTCCTCTTCAATTCTATCTCCTCACATTTATTCATTTCAATATATAAAAGCCATTGTCTGAGGCGTCCACAATCCCCTCTCACCCGACACATTTACCTCCTACGCGTCTCCCTGCCAAGTCGCGCACACTGCTCCCACATGGCTATACCGAGTTTCTTGAAATACGCCTTTGTATGGATACTGCCTCTGGTGAGCGCTTGCACCTGGCTGGGTAAGTCCAAGGGTTTCTAAACCACCCCTTCACATTCACTTTGACGGGGAATACTTTGGGCTAAAATATCTTCAGCCATGCTTCTAGCCATGTTAATTGTCTGGGAGCTTGAAGGCCACCCTCATTACGCCTCAATGAGCGCCAATCAACACATAGCATACATCTCCGACATTGGCGCCCAGGGTTTGAAACCCCTCTTTATAGCAGGCTGCTGCGTCACCACTGTCTTCCTCGACCTTTCCTTCGCATCAGAGCGTTGGCTACGACACACAGGACGTTTGGCACAGAATTTGGGCGTGGCCGAGAAGGTCCTGTCCGGCTTGTCCAGTACGCTGACACCCATCTCTGTATCAAGCCGGACTGCGAGATCCATTCATACTGATCAATCATCGCAGTCATCTTCGCCATCGCAGGAACCTGCGGCCTGATCCTCCTCTCCATCTTCGACACTCTCCATCACCCGCATCTGCACGACGGCTTCCTCCTCTTGTTCATCGCTGGCTACGTCATCAGCGCCATCTTCATCTGCGCCGAGTACCAACGCCTCGGCGTGCATTTCCGCCAACATCGGATCCTGCGTCTCTCCTTCTGGCTCAAACTCATATTCATTATCGTGGAGGTCGTTTTTGCAATCATCTTCGCGGCCACCACGTTCGACGGTGAACAGAACGTCGCGGCCATTTTCGAATGGATCATCGCGTTCGTCTTTACCTTCTACGTCCTTACTTTCTTTGTGGATTTGCTGCCGGCGGCCCGGAGCACCCAGGAGCACTCGAACGCTGAGCTTCTGCGTCGCAAAGAAGCAGAGAATGGGGGTGCGATGATGGAGGATTCTGGATACACCAACGGGACGACGACGAATGGCGTCAATGGGAATGCATATGCGGTTGGAGCGGCAGGGCATGATGGTGCTGGGACGGGGCATTATAGACCACCTGCTGCGCAGAACTTTTGAGAGCGGTCTTTTCGTACTGCAGGCACGGCGTTTCGAATTGCATTCCAAGGGAGAGGTAGCTGCATAGACGCAGTATCTTGAAAAGGAAGATTTTTGACGTGCGTTATATACCAGCGAAAGTCGAGCAGATGGGATAATCCTAATGGGCCATCAAGTAGGAAAGTGACTGGTTGCCGTATAGGCGGTCAGGAATCATTTCTGAGTCGAATTTGGAAAGGTTCACTCATAATTACAGTCATGCTCAGTCAAGATCTCTCTCTACTTGGAAAGAATTCCGCCTATTGGCATGGCGTGAGGCATAGAGATTTTGACTGACAGGAAAGAACGAAGAGGAAAGTAGCTCTCTGCATTAGCATATAAATTAAGCACAAGGAACTTATACATCATTTGCTTGCCTGATCCAACGACATAGATATCTCTTCAGGAAAAACTTGCAATCGCACGATTAAGGTATCGAATCAGCCATTCTTCCCACGAACGTCTTCCAACTCCCCCATTCACAAGTCCTCCATAAACTTCGAATCCCTCGCCGGACTGTCGCTCTTCCTCGCCGTTCCACCAAGAACACCAGCTGCCGGCGGATTCAACTTCTCGGTATCAAAGGTATCCCTCGCTTCCTCAAATTCTTCGCCTCCACCAGTCGAGCTCTCCGATTCTTTCGTATGGCGAGTCAAAGCAGGATCGATGTGGCCCTTGTCGATCTCTTCGTGCACAAATTGACTTTGTGTAATTGGCTCTCGTTCTCGTGGTATGGCGCTACGACCGCGAGTGTCTTCGTCACTCGAGAGAGAGCTGATGGAGGCTGAGGAAAGAGATTCGCGTTGAAGGGCGCCTGCAGCTGTCGGTCCAGTGTGAAGGCTACGAGTAGACGCTGAATAAAGGTCATCGTTCGCGGTTGGGCTCACTAGGGGCGCTTCGGTCGTAGTCGCGGTAGGATCTTTGCCCGCAAGAGCGACTTCGCGCATAGAGGAGTCGCCGCGATCCGAGCTGGTATTACTAGCATCGGGGCCAGTGAGATTTGCGCCACCAACGAAGCCTTTCCCTTTGCCCTCAGAGGGTGCGGTGGTTGACTCGGGCTTAGCGGGTTTGCTGGCGCGGCGGGAGAATTTCGTTTTGAGCCAGGAGGAGACCTTACCTGTATCTTTGTCTTTCATCGATTTCGAGGTCGAAGGACCGCTCACCGTTGTTTCGGTTGTAGCCGCAGGTATAGTGGGAACTACTCTAGCTGCGACAGGAGCCTCGTGCTTTGTTGTCGTCGAGGGCTCTGTGACGGTGGGGGTTGGCTCTGTCTCGATTGCTGGTGCCATGGCTGTTTCTGCTCCTACAACAGGAGCCGTCTTTGCATTGGACGTGTTCTCAACCAGCTCTTCAGTACCTGTGTTTGTGTTTCCCAATGAGGTGCTTGTTGTGGGCTCTCCTTCAACAGGTGCTGAAAATACACGTCTGGCTATTTCTTCCGCATTTCCACCGAGATGTCCACCGCTGTCCGCAGTGTACACTGGTTCAAGCTCAGACTCCTCCGTAGACGCTGGCGCCAGATTGGCCTGACTGGCATTTACGAGCTCCAACTCAGATGTTGGCAGAAACGTTGGATCGATCCTCTCTTCGTCGCTTGGAAGAGTCTCAGGCTTTGAATCATCGGTAGCAAAAGGCGTGGTCGCAGGGATAGGGTCGAGCACTGGTGGTTCTGGTCCAGCAACCACAGCTTCGGAATCGGCCTCCTCGGCCTCTTCCTTGGGCTCCTCGTTCGCAACCACCACTGGAACTTCCGAGACGACCTTTGTCTCCTTGACTCTACGCTTCTCCTGCTTCTCCGCCTCGCGAAGGCGCCTTTCTTCAGATTTCTTTGCTCTCTCCTCTTCCTTTCTAGCCCTAGCTTCTCGCTTTTCTTCCTCTGGTGATCGTTAGCATATATTCCAAAATAGAACTGGAATCAACTTACCCTTGAAGCGCCTCCAATCCTCTTTGGTCTTTGCATCACGCTCCTTCTGGTCCTGATTCTTCTCCGCAGCTAGCCGTTCACGCTCAAGTTGTTGCTGGCGAAGTTCTTCGTCTCTTGCGCGGTGCTTCTCGGCAGTTGCGGTGACCTCATCAAGTGTAGGCTGGACTCTGGCGGCGGCGATCGCATCAATCTCCGACTGGTCCATGTACCTGCCACCACCTATGTTGACTTTGCCATGATTGACCATTCTTGCGGAGCTTTCAGCTTTTGCCTTGGCCTTGGCCTTCTCTTCCCAGTCCTCCATCATTGCTGGGGAAACTTTACCAGTATCGTTGAAGACCTTTTCATCCATGCCATGCATGCTTGCTCTGACATTTCTTTGAGCGGCAGCCAAGAGCGAATCCCTATCCTTTTGCCGCTTTTTTGCATCCACCTGGGCTAGTTTGTCCGTGAACAGAGACATTTCGGACCTGATCTGTTGGGAGCGCTCTTCGTCATCTGCCTGGCCATCGCTGGATGCGCGCCTTCGAGCCCGACCTCGTATTGACAGCTTGTGGGTCTGGGGTGCAGCTTGTGTTCCATAATATGTCCTGTACGCTGCATGCTCATCATGGAGCTTAGCGAGGCGCTCAGCTGCTAGTTTCTGCGCCGCTTCCTGCAGGTTGGCATACTGCGGGGGGTTATGCGGTTCCTCTGGTGTAGCCGAGGCTGGACGATTGTGCACGCTGGTAGCAGCATATGAGCTATCAGATCGCCGGGTCTCCGCCGCTGCCTCGATAGCTTTCTGTTGAACATCATACATCTGCTTTGCCATTGAGATTGCTGCAGCGCGCAGGCCGGCTTGTCTATTCTTCTCTTCCACCTCCGGCGCAACTGGGGGATGGGACGTGTACATCTCGCGTGAAAGGTTGGTGATGGCTGCATTGTGTATCTTGGCGGCATTGATCGTGGAGCCAGCTGGGGCACGTGGTGCGGGCTGACTTCTCCCAGCAGCTCTTGAAACAGATGTGGCTGCCTTCAGCGCATTTGTCGCAGAATTCTTCGAATCTGGGTATAAGCTTGGTTCGATCGGCGTAGAACCAGCTCGTTTTCTTCCGCTAGCCATCGATTGAGTTGCCGCCATCATTGCTCTCCTGCCACCTTCCTCAGTATGACCATAGTCGAGTTGAGGACTCAAGCCTTTCATGCGCATCGCTTGACCTGCTGCTGAGTTTCCAGCGTCAGTTGGCGAGGGTCTCCAGATCTTGACGTCTCCTCCCTCCCTTTGAGCGAGAAGCGCGGCTTTTGAGCCGGCGGCACTCAGCTCTGGATGCCACAACGGAGCAGCTTTGTAGTCCTTGGCTAGCATTGCTGCCTTGTTGGCAGCTGGTATGTCTCCCGGCTTCCAGTACTCGAAGGATTTATGGTCTTTG